AATTAAAGGTTCCCATCCATTTAACAATCTTGCTTCACTCTTAGGGCAGGAATTTTAAAAGGAGATGCTTAAGTTGGAAATGATTTAAATATTAAGGTTGGTGGCATTAAAAGGACATGAAATGATCATATTAGAATTCAAGGAAAAGAGATTCTCCAGTAATTTTTGTCATCAGAGTCAAATGCATTTCCCCTCAATCCTAGTTCCATGGGCTTTTTCTTGTTCACCCAAATGAGCTGTCAGGAACTGATGGGTGTCATCATAATCAAAGAAAACAAGTTTGCCCTTTAAAGCAAAAGAGGTAATTTGGCTGAAAGCAAACTGGAAACATTTCATGTAACATTGCATTTCCAGTGGCACTCTCTGAAGAATTCAGGCATTTTGATTTATGCCTGAGAGCTTTGGGGTACAATGGGGAGGATTGTGTTCATTAGCTACCGTGGTCACATTCATCCTGTGACCATGGGCAAAGATCCTTCATCCTCAGAGAGGCTGAGAAAGCTCCACGGCTGTCCCTAAAACTTTTTTTTTTTTTTGCTAATGAGATAGGATCTCAGCCGAGAGCGATGACTCATGCCTGCAATCCCACTACTTTGGGAGGTCGAGGTGGGCGGATTACCTAAGGTCAGGAGTTCGAGACCAGCCTGGCCAACATGGTGAAACCCTGTCTCTACTAAAAATACAAAATTAGTCTGGTGTGGTGGGGCACACCTGTAAGCCCAGCTACTCAGGAGGTTGAAGCAGGAGAATGACTTGAACCCAGGAGGTGAAGGTTGCAGTGAGCCGATATCACGCCATTGCAGTCCGCCGAGATCACGCCATTGCAGTCCAGCCTGGGCGACAAGAGCAAAACTCTGGCTCAAAAAAAAAAGGAGAGATAGGATCTCACTTTGTCACCCAGGCTGGAATGCAATAGTGCGATCACGGCTCACTGCAGCTTCAACCTCTCAGGCTCAAGCAGTCCTCCTGCCTCAGCTTCCCAGACAGTAGGGACTACGGGCACCTGCCACCATGATGGACTAATATTTTTTTTAACTCTTTGTAGAGATGACGTCTCACTTTGTTGCCCAGGCTGGTCTTGAACTCCTGGGCTCAAGCAATATTCCTTCCTTGGCCTCCCAAAGTGCTGGGATTACAGATGTGAGCCACCATGCCCAGCCTCCTAAAACTTTGTCTTCAGGAAGAGCCTCAAAGGATCTCATGAGATTCATTAGGGAGCAGGAAGTATGTGTAAACCAAAGTGACTGAAGATAATTCTGTCCTCTGCTCCCAAAGAAGCTTCTGGTTTGTTTTTTTTTTTTTTTTTTTTTTTTTTTT